ATGTAATGCAATAACTTTTATGAAGGATTTGGAGAATAGCAGTTAGAGTATAAAGAAGAAAAGTGAAACACGTAGAAAAAACGAGATATACAAAAATTATCACCATAGAGAAAATGAGATATACTAAAATTATCATGTCAGTTAATACTTAGTTGGGTAACCTTTATAGCCTTACAATGTCTTCCCATGGAGTGAACCAAGTCTTTTAGTTCTGCAGCTATTATAATGTGCAACCAAGATTAAATGATTGCTTCTACTAACTGGGTTTTATTGCTGGGTCATTTCTGACTAACAAGTTTCTTTAGTTGGCTCCATAGGTTTTCAATTGGGTTAAGGTCTGGGCTATTCCAGCAGTGGAGCATGATTATCTTGAAACTCCAAAATAAAAGTGGTGTTATTAGCCATCAAAACTCAAAAATACACTTTTCCCAAATGGGAAAATTTTCCACAATTTTTCTGCAGGTCTCTTTGGAACCAAAAACAGTGAGTATTTTTCTTACCTTTTACCTTTAGGCATCTTCGTATCTTGCTAATCAAAGTCCCTGAAGGGAGGACAAGAAGCAATGGATGGAAATTCCAAAGGTGCTTTTTCAAGAGGTGATTGGACTTTCTGTTTTTTTCTTTGAGGACATTTTGCTTCTCATCCAAGAAGCTTCTTCAGTTCTGACTGGATGGTGGGCATTGGAAGGATTTATACTCCTTGCAGACTGCTGGTCATTTGCATTCTTTTAGCGAGTCATTAAGGTCACCTGGAGATGTAACTGTGTCCTCAAGGTCACCTGAGTAGTGCAAATGGGTGTGTGGAGCCTTCTTGGAACTATTGAAAGGACTGTGTTGTAGACTGGAGATAGATGATGTTGTATCCCTCCTCCTCTTTTGAAAAAGGGCTGTCCAATTTTTACATAGATGGCCTCTTTGACCCTTCTTTCAAACCAGTGGTCCTCTCTGTCCAAAATGTGGACTTTGCTGTCTTCAAAAGAGTGGACTTTGTTTTTTAAATGCAGATGGACTGCTGAATCTAGACTGGAGGGGTTTGTTCTCCTATGTTGTGCCATGCAGAGGACTATAAATCCTTCCATTCCCTACCAACCAGTCAGAGCTGAAGAAGCTTCTTGGAGGAAACAACAGAAAGTCCAGTTGCCTCTTCAAAAAGCACCTTTGGGACAATCATGACTTGGATGACTGAGAATCTCCACAGAAAATGAATGGAAACTTATCAAGAAGAGAACTAAGGAGAAATTTCCTGATAGTTAGAACAATTAATCAGTGAAACAACTTTCCTCCAGAAGATATGAGTGCTCCAACGCTGGCAGTTTTTAAAAAGAGATTGGACAAACATTTGTTTGAAATGGTATAGGATTTCCTGCTTGAGCAGGGGGTTGATCTAGAAGACCTCCAAGGTCCCTTCCAACTCTGTTATTTTGTTGTTATTATTGTATAGAGACACCACTAATAGTTGGAAGCATAAACTTGGATAGCATGAAAATAACAAAATGTTGATCATGACAACTTGAAACCAACCTGTAAACCGTGTGCTTTGTGTTTTGACATTACAATGCACATTTTGTCATTTGTCTCTCTTCCCCACAGCATAATTATGATACAAGATGAATTTCTCCCCCCACATACTCGCTATGATTCAAAGTGTAACTAGGGACAATGGAATTTTAGCATCCAGAACCATGGATGCTAACATCATCAATGTAATATATAAAGATTGCAAATTATATGCAATCAGGCTACAGTTTTTAAAAGGAAATCTTACTATTGGAATTAGCCTCCTCATCTTAAAGATACAAGTAGTTATGGCATCTTGTAGAAAGTTTGCACCATCACAGCATTGATTACATTAACTCAGATGGTAGAGATGCATAATTAGGTAAACTTAATAGGGCTTTGTCTCTAGCGAAAGCCTTAATTCTTTTTACATTTGCAGGTGGCTAAGTTTAATTATACAGTATGAACACCAGATGGATTTTCAGTTTTTGAGGCCTACATATATCCAGAGCAGGCACTGCTCAAAAACAGGTGGGGATGCTTGTAAATTTATCTCCCCATATGCTCCTGTTCTAGGCACAAATATAGATCACAAATTCCTTTGGGTTTAGATTCTTCACACCGACGCTCAGTTCTCACCTAAGACAAAATAAATGTTAAATACAAGTAGCAGAAAAAGTTGGGGATGTATAATCATGCAGCAGTTTCAGATGAAAAATTGTTCTGTGAGTTCTACTCCATACAGTTTGAGAACAAATAATCATCTCGTCTAAATGAGGATAGTTTAAATGTGGGCTCTGATGACCAAACTAGATACATATTAATAAATAGATGTGGATTTCTTCTTTTCTATTAAAAAAAAAACATTCACAAATTACTTCATAAACTGAATTGTCTTACAATATCGACAATTAATCTATCCAAGCAATAAAGTAGATAAGGTTTATATGTTTTAATCCTCTCATGCTGTATTCATCCATATTGCCTGAGGGGAGATTTTTTTTTAAGGGGGAGGGGTGAATTATACTGCTTCTAATTAATATTCCCATTAGTAGATGTTTCCTTATTAAGAGTGCATTCTACTCCATGTTGAGAAAAGCCATGCGTTGAATCTGGCTGAAAGCAGAAAGTGAGTCATATATTTTTTATTTTTTTATTATTCAAGGATACATGGATATCTTTTCTTTGATGGACAATTCCTAATTTAAACAAGCCAAATAGTCATTGTTGTGTATAAATGACACAATCTTTAAACTACAAAGTGGTTAGGAACACTTCTTTGGTTAGTTTAGAAAGTATAAACTGTCTATCTTGATTGGGGTCCAGGCAGCCCTCACTTAACAATGGTAATCGGGACAAGTAACTCCGTCACAAAGTGAGGGTGTTGCAAAGCATGATGTCATGTGACCATGCCCACTTGCGACAGCAGTTGCAACAGCAACTAGCAAGCAATTGGTTGTTTAGTCCATCTGCATCTGAAAGGCAAAGGTCACTCTTCTGAAGACAGCAAATTTCACATTCTGGACAGAGAGGACCATCGATTTGAGGATTTAAAAAGGTCATTTTGTTAAAACTGAACTCAGCAGAGAGAGAGGGATATGACACCACCTATCTCCTCTTAACAACACAGTCCTTTCAAAAGTCCCAAGAAGGTTCCACACCAGTGGTGGGATGCCCCCGATTCGGACCGGTTTGCAAGAACCAGTAGTAAAACCGGCAGGAGGCCTAGTCCACCGCCCTGGATGTCGTCATCAGCAATCTGCACAAGCGCATGCGCATGAACCCATTGCAAACCGGTAGTAAAGGTAAATAGAACCCACCCCTTGTCAGACTTCGATGCTATCTCAAAATAAATTTCCAAACTGCCAATCTTTAAGGAAATCTTCTCTTTATTTGAGCACGGATCATGACTCGATGCAGACAAGACTGACCTTTTGCCCCCCAATTCCTCCCTTTCCAATCCCCAATTATCTGCTTCTCATTGGCTATCTTCCAAGTCACTCCACTGACTTCTTGTCTCATCATTTCACAGGAATGTCCCCCCTCCCTTCATTTCCATGACGACCCAGCTTCAAAGGGATTTAGCAGGCAAAAGTTCAGGGCTTATCTCTCTCCTCTCTATGCCAGCGGTGAGACGCTGACACCCCTATTCCACACCCTTTTGCACTCTGCTTCAGGTGACTCTCAGCAATAGCAAAAGCACTTGGACTTATATACCGCTTCACAGTGCTTTTACAGCCCTCTCTAAGTGGTTTACAGAGTCAGCCTATTGCCCCCAACAATCTGGGTCCTCATTTTACCCACCTCGGAAGGATGGAAGGCTGAGTCAGCCTTGAGCCTGGTGAGATTCGAACTGCCAAATTGCAGGCAGCCGGCAGTCAGCAGATATAGCCTGCAGAACTACATTCTAACCACAGTGCCACCACGGCTCTGAGGATACAGATAAACCACCCAAGTGGCTTCAACAACTCTCAGAGTCCTAACGACTGACCTTCAGAGTGCTAACAACCAGACGACTGCAAAGAACGCAAATCCTTCCAGTAACTTTTTCAGTCAGTTAGAACTGAAAAAGCTACTTGGATGAGAAGCAAAACATTTTCAAGGGAAAAAAAAAATAAAGAAAGTCCAGTTGCCTTTGGAAAAGCACCTTTGGGTCAACCATTGCATGGATTATTGAGAATCTCCATAGACCTGGTCACAGGGCTCCATGATTGTTATTGGTGACCTCCATAAATCCTCTTATTCTTGTGCCATTGTAACAGAATATCATTCAACAGGCTTACATCTAAGTGGGGCTTTCCCCGCCTTTCTGCTTGATTTTTATACCAATACTAGCTGATAACTCAGTGTTGCCCTGGTATTTATTTATCCCAATCCTGCCTTTATCTGCATTAGCAGGCACCTCCCCCGACAACTTGCCCTCTTTGCTTGAAGTTGAGGGCTTAGGGTGGGTTTTTTTAAAGAACCAATCCCCTTTACCAGAGGGAGCCCCCTTGTGGAGTTCTGTGAAGCCATTACCATGGTAACTCCACTGTGCTGTACAGTAGAAGCCATTTTAAAGCACAACAGGACTTGAATCCAAAATGCACACTATCACTGTCAAAAGTACTGTGATTTGACACTATAGATATAATTCATTCCTTTTCATTTCAGTGGCCCAAGCATTCCAGAGTTATGCTGGAACACATACACACATACACACACACACACACACACACTGAGGGGTGTTAGGAGTATTTTTTACCCCTTAAAAATACCCCTGACTTACCCCACAGTATTTTTTTCCAGAGTAAGTCATCTGTATACCAAATTTGGTTGAAATTGCTTGAGGCGTTCCAGAGTTATGCTGGAACACACACACACACACACACACACACACACACACACACACACAGCCATAGATAGATAGGTAGGTAGGTAGGTAGGTAGGTAGATAGATAGATAGATAGATAGATAGATAGATAGATAGATAGATAGATAACACATACAAATGGTGATATTACCGTGAGAGTTCCTTTGGCAGAGTAAGCAGCATAGGAGTATGGAAGGTCTTGACTGTAGTGAGTTTGGGTCTCCTTGTTACATGGCTGTCCATTAGGATAATAACATTCCCCAGTGTTATTCAGAATCACTGTATTTGGAGAAGAGCCTGGCAGGTCAAGCAAGACAGTGTAATTGATGAGCTGGACATCTTCAAGACCAAAGGATGTCCACTGACCCAGAAGTTTTGTTGCAACATCTCTATCTTCTTTTCCATTCTGCTGCATCAAGTCTCTACAAGAAACAATAACAAATACAATTGGGTGTACGGATTAGCTTTTCCAATAAAAATTAAGCTTTTGATTATATACGTAGGTAACTTGGAATCTATGTTTTGTTTATAAATCAAAGAAAGAAAGGAAAAACGTTGCTCTAGGAATATCTACTAGATGAGTTTACTTATTGTATTAAGTCATTGTTTACCTAAGTATGATTGGAGAATAAACCACAATTATCTGAGTTTGCACAACAGCATGTTAAACCCATGGTTAAAAAACCACATCTGCTGGTTTCAACCAGCAGATTAACTAAGATCTGAGCCAAATTATGATTTATCATGATATGAAAATCCAGACATTATGTTGGACCAGTATAAACACATAAAAACAACATTAATTGTCTCTTTCTCTGAGGGAGAAGGACAGTTCAGAAATAGATAGATAGATAGATAGATAGATAGATAGATAGATAGATAGATAGATAGTTTATTTAATGGAAACAGACTAGATACTAGGGAAGTTGAGCTAAGAAAATATTGTTGTGGCCTGCCAGCTGCCAGCAGAGCTGACGGCAGACTCAGACTATGAGGAGGTTGGGGAGGAACTTGGGCCAGTTCTAGAGTCTGAGGAAGGCTCTGATGGATGCTCTGCATCGGACACAGACATAGAGCCAGGGCCATCCAACATTTCCCAGCCAGCAGAGAGGCAGCTGCCTTTGGAGGCTGATATGAGTGAGAAGGAAGAACAGCTGGGGCCTGTTCCAGATGCACGTATGCACAGAGCAGTTAGCAGAGGTGAACAACGGAGGACAAGGAGTCGACTCGGGAAGCAAATCACACATGGACGCTGAATGGCCCCTCCCTGGCTGGGGAATAAATAAAAGGAAAGGGGAGTGGTTGTCGTAGGAGACAACAGTTCATATTTCTGAAGATTTTGCTCATTATGTTTCATGTCACAAAGACTGCTTGCCAGAACTTAATTTGCAGCCTTTCAGCTGGGAGCTCACCGCCTTGTAATTATCGCAAGGAACTGATAAAGTCTGTTACTGCAGTTAGCTCCTTGAAGGACTATTGCCTGGACTTTTCAGTGGGTGAAGGCAATTAATTCACAAAAGGTAAATAAAGAGGGTTGTTTTTTTTTTGTGACCAGGAGTCAGTTTCTTGCTTCTGCTAAGGCTGGGTCAGAACAAATATATAGTTAACTAAACCATGAAAGTATGAAGTGGCATGTACATAATAATTGGCTAGATATTCCAAGCATGATTCTCAGAAGCCAGATAAGCAGATGTCAAAAAATATGATGGCAGCAGGAAGTTTAGGGAACATGAACATCCAGAGTCACAAAATTATGTTAAACCATTGATGCCATCTTGACAGATAACTTTAAAAAGAATCAAGGCATACATATATGAAACTCAAGGTGGTACACATACCTACTACTCCTTCCTCCTTCTATTTTTCCCACAACAACCACAACTCATGCATGGCTTCTTTTTAAAGTTATCTATATACATACACATACAAAGTAATAAAGGCAAGATAAAAATAGAAATAAATAAAAATAATTAAATAAAATTGAGCATCATAAAACTATTGTGAAGAAAGAAGTTCGTTCATGGTTTTCCCAAGGATTTTAATTTCAAATTATAATCAACACAAGACAAAAACATTGTTTATACATACAAACAAAAACCATACATTCCCCTCCCTCCCTCCCCCATTCATAACACTAAACATAAAAAAACACATCTATCCTGGCAGATATTGTTCCTGCCCTCATTGGTAAATAATTATGTCCACAACACAGAATAAGGTAAGTAATCCCCAAATGTGATTTTCAAACAATTATTTTTCAATCTAAATAAGTATATCTCTCTTCATATTAAACATAGGCCCTCACTTCATCTCAATTCTTTTATTCAACCACCGATACCAACTGTCCCAACTTTGAAAAAAATCAGAATCCTCTTTTTCTTTCAACATATACGTCATTCTATCCGCCTCAGCACACTCTAATACTTTGTTTATAATTTGGGCACTAGCTGGTATCCCTTTTCATTTCCACTGTTGGGCGAACATTATTCTAGCTGCAACTAAAATATGTAGCGTGAGATACCATTTTTTCTTGCTCAGCCCCTCTGGGCAAATACCTAGTAAATATATCTCAGTTTTCCATTGGAGGTCCATACTCTGATTTCTCTTCAGATCGTATAAATCTTTCGCCAGGAGTTCAGTCTTGACTCATTCAAGGTTGACTCAACCTTCCATCCTTCCAAAGTTGGTAAAATGAGGACCCAGATTGTTGTGGGCAATATGTTGGCTCTGTAAACCACTTAGAGAGGGCTGTAAAGCATTATGAAGCAGTATTCTGACCTAGGCTTACTTAGAAAGCATAAAGCACAATCTTAGTATCAGCATACCTCTTTTATTCATATGGCTGTGAATTATTGTCACTTGTAGTCTGAAAGGCTTCACAAACAGTTTTTCAGGCGAATGTTTATAAACACCCACCTTATCTCCCTTGGAATGCTGCCAGAGAACTAATTGCCAAATGCAGGGCAAGGCCAAACTTAGCACAGAGTCAAACAGAACTTTCCAAAGCTTGAACCGACCAGATGAACTAATTGCTTCCTGCAAAAGCTCACATCATGTTTGCTCCTCTTTTATGTCTTATGGGAGGGGCCAGTCATCTCCAAGCCTTACTCCCAAGTCGACCGTGTTTTCTTAATTGTTCTTGTCTTCTGGCAGCTCTACGCATGTGCACACTGGGAACAGGCTCCCACTGTTCTTCTTTCTCGCTGACGTCAGACTGTGGAGGCTCTGGAGGCAGCAAAGAACTACCAGATGGCCTTGGCCCCCTCTCTGCCTCCAACTCAGAGCCCTCGTCTGAGCCTTCCCCAGACTCCAGGACTGGCCCATGTTCCTCCCCAACCTCCTCACTGTCCAAATCTGCTGCCAGCTCTGCTGGCCGCTGGGGGCCCACAACAAGCGATGTATGGCTAAGTGCTATTGCTATTTCTGTTTTTCTGAATTTACTTATGAAAAATAACAATTATGTCAAACTATATCATTAATTGCCTGAGCTTGATTTCTCCACCAAAGTTACTATAAACTTTGTAATACTTCTTTTATTTCTATACCACATTTACCATGTTGTTAAGAAATATGCAAAGCCATAGCAGAAACTATATGTGACATTGTCACAATCTGAGGGGTATTTGTTTTCCCATATGTCTCTATTGTCAATTGTCATTTATATGTCAATCCATGAATGATACAATACGCGTCTATTCTTACTGGAGGTCATCTGTCTCCCATTTCAAATCCTGCCTCTCTCTTTCTTAGAAGGTTACTTTTCCTTTTTGTAGACATTTAATTAAAAGTTTTAAAAAGAAGATAAAAACTAACAAAAACTAATAAAAGTAAAAAAAGAAAAGAAGGAAAAAAAGAAAAGTACAAAAGAAAAAGATAAAGAGAAATAGGAAAATAAAGCTTCCAATTTCCTTTGCAGCAAGTACAGGTATGAATTCATAGTTATCTCTTACTCTATGATTACAAAAAAGACTCTCTCTTTTTTTCTAGTATTTAATATTTTCGGATCTTCAAAACCAGAAATTAAAATGTCAATTTTCTGTTTCATGCAAAAAAGTTTATAAGGGTTTTCCAATCAGCAGTAAATGTAGATGCTTTTTCTTTAAACAAGGAAACCTATGTAGTCATCTCTGAACGTTCCATCATTTTCACCAACTATTGTCCCATTATGGGTAGTGCTGAACCTTTCCACTTCATCATCATCATTTAATGACCCCATCAGTGGTGAGATTCAAAAATTTTTACTACCGGTTCTGTGGGTGTGGCTTGGTGGGTGTGGCTTGGTGGGCATGGCAGGGGAAGGATACTGTAAAATCTCCATTCCCACCCCACTCCAGGGGAAGGTTACTGCAAAATCCCCATTTCCTCCCGATCAGCTGGGACTCAGGAGGCAGAAAAAACAGCTATATCTTTTTTCAGTGTCTCTACATCATGTTGGATGGTTATTAGTTGTTCAAATATTGAAACAACTGTTTGCGCTGGGAGAAGGCATTGCTTTACCATAAACTCTGTCATATTCTCCCACGGTAAGCTCTCCACACTCTGAATTAGTTTATTGTTAACCTTTTTAGTCTTTATCTCAGTCTCCATATCGGCTGTAGCTGGACTCATTGTTTGTGAAAACAGCTGGCTGTCATTTTGCTCCCCTCCCCCCAGATCGGGAAAGTCTAGTATCTGCTGTTTTGACAGATCTCTTTGCAGATCCCATTCTAACCTCTCCAGATTGTTGGAAATGGAGTGGGGGGGGATAGTTTTACTTGCAACTCTCTTGTCAGCAAAGTGCTCCTCAATTTATGGTTGTTTTGCATTCTTCACTGGTGGGAGACATCCCTTCTTTCTTTTCCCCATGCCTTATTAGTCCTCAGCAGCCAAAACTTTGTCTGTATTGTGGTCTACGCTGTTATTGTCTCTGAAAAGTATTATTTAAATAAAAAGGATCCAATGGGGATACTAAAAATTGATAAAATAAAATAAAACCAAGAGGAGCTGCTTCAAACACACTCTGGCAGCAGGAGCCCCATCCCTCCACCCCCTCAGGAGGCAGAGAATAGATGGGGGCGGGGCCAGTCAGAGGTGGTATATATTGGTTCTCTGAACTATCAAAATTTTCACTACCGGTTCTCCAGAACTGGTCAGAAACTGCTGAATACCACCTCTGGACCACATAATCCCTTGCAGGGTGGAGTCTGGACAACTGAATGGAGCTAGCAGCTGGATGCCCTTCCTGTCACCAGCTGAACCTTTCCACTTGTGAGCATATAATAATCTTGCTGCAATTATCATATACAAGAATGCAATGTTCCATGATTTTTTCCCCCTAGTTGTCTCTCCATTAATCCCAAAAAGAAAAGAAAAAACTCTGTTGGTTACTGTCAGCCGGATCTGCAGAATGTGATTTGCAGATTGCTTGCCCTCGGCTGCCATG